CAGCCTGTGCAGCCTAGAGGAGGGAAGCCGGCCCAATCAATACCTCTGCATTTCCTGTCCATTTGCTCAGGTCTCTTCATTAATAATTACTGCTTGGTGAGGCTTCAGTGTGCATGCTGGCTGGGCCAAGGGGAGAGGCTTTATGACCTTTCCCCGCCCCTGGCTCGACTTGGATCACATACACAGGCATGGGGACAGACATAATAAGGCAACACAGATGACATTACTCCCGATTCATGCCATATCCTTCTCTGTAGAGCGACTATCATGCCAAACTCTATTAAACAATTAATTGTATTTGCAGCTGTGCTTATCAGCAGAGGTACATACTTGTTAGAACATGACATTGAGACATTTTTACAACTTGTTTGGTGCTGCTCTTCAATTTGGCAGACACCCACTACATCCAGCAGCTATGATTTCAGCATCATATGAGGTGTGCAGTAACAAGCAGGGGGGAACCACTTATTATAACTTTTTTTTTTTTAAGTACTGCTTGGTGTATCATTTGCCTTTCATGGCACATTTTCCAGATGACAATAACAGTTCTTCAAAACATCTTAAATTATGTTCTGCCTGGTATGTGCCTTTGCTGATAAGCAAGGTAACAATAAACTGCCAGGCTTTAAAATGCAGCCTGGTGTGATATTTTCTCTATGCAGGAGAGGAAGGGTATGTCTCAGAGCCAACACAATGCATAACATGATGCTTAAGTAATGTGTTTTTATTTCTTTTTTTAAAATGATGACCATTTATGAATACAGCAATTGCATTTCTGATGCACACATTCATCCACAGCAGAGCAGAACAGTTTCTTCAGACATGAGCCAACACCTGGTCCAAAGCAAGTTCATTTGTCTCTGAAGTGTCAACTCACCCTGTTGCCTCTGCAGACAAAAACACCCTAGGCGGCACATTTAGAGGCAGTAATGTGTGTGTGTGTGTGTGTGTGTGTGTGTGTGTGTGTGTGTGTGTCCTGGTCAAAATTTGGTGATGGTGGAGGCGATATTCTCCAAGGCGGATCGAGCCTCGGAGGAAGGGAAAGCCTGGATGGCCTCCAGAGCCTTGTTGCTATGGTAACAACATAAGTCCACCGCTGAGCTCACACCTTTCTCTGACTTAACTGCTGCCAAAAGCTGTCGAGGGATGAAAACACACATTAGTTTGTCACGTCTGTGTCACTCCTGCTACTGTCCAGCTGTCAACACAATAACCTGTTAAGAGCCAGAAAAGTTGGCTTACTCCTACTATGCACTGTACACAGGCAAAGCAATTCTATTATTGTTGGAAGGCACTGTATAACACAATCATGTCTGTATCTGCAGGTCCCACTGGAGGTAGCTTACCACACTGAATGATTTGTGTCTCTGTATATTGCAGTCTTGCACTTACATGCACAACAAATCACTCACAAGCAGCACCTTAAATATAAAGACAGCTGGAATCAGGAGTCTCCATGTTCCTTACTGTGGGTGTGCTGAGACCTCTTTTTGCTGAGGGCATTTTACTTAAACTTGAAGCTGCACAGACTGGAGGTGGAAAGCCCCATAGGCCTTCCTCCTTTAAAACAAAACAAAACTAGTTGTCGAACTTGGCATCACCCTGGCTGCTTATTTAATTTAGTAAAGATTCTTTTTCACACTCAATTCACACCCTCTTTTCTGCCAACCTTGTGTGGTTCTGCATCAAACTAATGCTCCCATATCTCTTGATAATCCCATTCTCCTTCGTTTGCATGTTAGGTAATATAAGTTTGACATCCTCTTCCTTCCACATGTACTTGCACCTAATTCTTACCTTCCAGCTTCACATCTCATCTTGTGCATTCTGATCTCAAATATTCAGGTGCCACACATAAGAACATTTGTACTACACAACAGTGAGAATTCTAGTGATGATATTTTACAATAAAATAGGATCATAACTTTTTAAAACTTTTCTTGCACTTAACACTGCATTTTAAATGTACAAAAAGGCAATTCACCCCTGTTGCATGAACCAGGATCTTCAGTTCTCGTTTTTTTTTAAGTTTAAAGCCTTTTCACTTAATGCCTTATAGATTAAGCTGACTGCTTACTGTATCCCCAAAATTCCTGGTTTTCATCAGTGGTGGAAGGTGTTTGAACATTTTAGCTGGCGGAGCAGCAGCTGTTTTCGGGACTTGGAAGAGATGCCAGAGGGGGAGAAGGGCCGGTGCCCTTGTAAGGCTACCGAATGCCACCCCCTGCCATACATCTAGCTAATCTCCATTCCCTAGCTAACAAAATGGATAAACTGCTGTTTGTCAATCGGACTAACTCGAATTTTTCACATTCTGCGGTATTATGCTTCGTGGAAACCTATTATTTTGGGGGATTTTCACAGACCTTACTCATGAATTGCCCAAGTACAGACATATCAGTTGTCCCACCAGGAACAAAAATACACTGGACCATTGCTATACCATAATTAAGGACGCCTATCACTCTGTTCCCTGTGTAGCCCTTCAGACCACTGCATGATCTACCGCATCCCCACTTATAGGCAGAAACTTAAAGCTGCAAAGCCTGTGGTCAAAAGGGTGAAAAGATGGACTGAAGAGGCAAAGTCAAAGGTACGAGCCTGCTTTGACTGCACAAACTGGGGTGTTTTTTAGGCTGCAGCTACAGAGTTGGATGAGTATAATGACATGGTGACATATATCAGTCTGTGAGGACATTGTGTGTCCATTAAGACTCTGCACATACAATAACAATAAACCTTGGTTCACAGTGAAGCTCCAACAGCTTCGTCATGTCAAAGAGGAGGCCTACAGGAGTGGGGACAGGACTCTGTATAACCAGGCTAGAAACACACTGACAAAGGAGATCAGAGTAGCAAAGAGTAGCTACTCGGAAAGACTGAAAAATCAGTCAGGCCAATGAGCCGTTGTCAGTGTGGAGGAGCCTACGCAACATCACCAGGTACAGGAGACCACCCCTCTGCTGTGGAGAGCTATTAATTGGCTGACGAGCTGAACGAGTCTTACGAGTCTGTAGGTTTGAGGCAGAACTCTACACCCCTCTCTCATCTCATCTTGGACCCACAACCAGTTGCTGCTTCCTCTAGGACTACCTCAGCCCCATCAGCCCACCTCCTCTGAGGATCTGTGAAAGAGCGTGTTGCCAAAGTTCCCATACAGAAACTAAAACCAATTAAAAACACACCTGGGTGACATGTGTTTAAGAAAACACCAGACCAGCATACTTATTAAAAATGTTGCCTCAAAAGCTCCAAATAACCATAACTTTGTCTGAAGAAGTAATACTTAAATGTGCATGCATGAGAGCTCATGAAAACATCAGGAGCCGGCAAACTGTAAACAAAGCACAGCTTCCATATCGGGGATTTTAATTTATCTAAAAGTAGCAATATCACAGTGAAATATTCCATTAGAAGCAACAGCCTTTTGTTTTTCAAGTAAAAATGTGTATAATTTGCAAAATATACTTAAAGTATCAAAAATATATCTACTCAATATCTGAGAAAATGGCCCTGTGAGTGTCACGGCTGCAACTAACAAATATCTTTGTTTTTAATTAATCTGCTCATTATATTCTTGCACATTTTGTCAAAAAGGTCAGAAGAGCAGCTGACCATCAGTTCAAAGACCAAAGAATCAGTTTAGAATGAAGTAACAGAAAAAAGCACCAAGCTGGTGCCTGCAACCATTTAAAACAACTACTAAAACTAATTTCTGATTATCAAAATAGTTCAACTAATCGTTGCAGCTCTATCTACTATTATGCATTATATTATTATTACTTCTGTATCAATGTATAATTTACATGTTATTACTGAAATTGCTTAAGGTCCAACTTTTTCGTTACATACTGTTGTTGGCAAAGACTGAAGTTCATATGTTTTGCATATAAAATCTTAATCTCAAGTAACAAGTAACTAAAGTTGTCAAATAAATGTAAAAGTAGGAAAAAAGGTAGAATAGATGTAAAAAGAAATTACTCAACAAACGATTCATACTACTACCACAAACTACTCAAAGACAATACTCAAAGTACAAGTGCCTCAAATTTGATGCAGTACAATTCTTGAGTAAATGTACTTGGTTACATTCCACCACTGTGTGTAGGTGTACTGTTTATTTATAGCAAAAGCTTCTTGAGTCGAAACTATCTTTTACGGCCTTTTTGGCATTTTAAAATGGGTGTTTCTGTAAATATTTATGTTATTTATCAGTTAATAGCATGGAAGCACATGCTCAATCATGTGGATTTGCAGATGTCACAAATGTAAGGAACATTCCTGTAACTATGATGCATTCCTGTCTTTGAATCAAATCAAAGTTTTACGCTTAAGGGCCTGACGTCTTACTTTGCCTCCCCAACATTTCTTTACCCCTTGTGTCCTCTCATCTCTCCCTCCCTCTAAACTTCTCCCCATGTCCCATTTTCCGCAGGTCTGCTGAAGGAGATCCTCTCACAATGCCACTGTCTCAGAGCCTCAGTGTCTCCTCCACAAATAGACCTTGGTAACTAATCTGTCCTGCTCTGGTTTCAGACTGGATCAGATTAACACCCCCAGTACCAACAGACCCTTCTGCATAGCCTCAATCTCTTCTTGCACCTGAATTGGTCCCCTTCTTCACTCACACATCAACCTTGGAAAGCTCATTTCTCAACTTTGATATAGGTTACAGTGAAAAGACACCCAGATTCTCTGATGGCTCTGTCAAAAGCAGGACCACATAGGGAAGGGGTCTGATAGCATTTTATCAAATATGAATCCAGTTCCGAATCATCCTACCAAATCCCAGTCGATATTCAAATTCCTTATCAAACCTTAACAAGTGCATTGTTTTTATTATAATCAGTACAGAAACAAAACAAGTGTAAACGGTTTTGTGTAACTTAATATTCAAGAATCAACCTTTCACATTAATAACTGGTCATTTTAGTTGTGATTTAGGAACCAATTATCAGACAAACATGAAGCGAAGTGATAAAAACTCTGGTTATTGATTAGACATCCCTCTCTACAGCAAAGTTCTTCAGCTCCTCCTGGGAAACCCCAAGGCCTTCCCATGCCAGGTGAGATAAATAATCCCTCCAGTGGGTTCTGGGTCTACCCTGGGGCCTCCTACTAGTTCATATGCCTGGAAAACTTTCATTAGAAGTTGTGCAGGAGGCATCCTAATCAGACAACTGAACCACCTCAACTGGCTTCTTTCAATGCAAAGGAGCAGCGCCTCTATCCCGTGCTCCCTCTGTACATCCGAGCTCTGCACCTCATCTCTAAGGCTGAGTCCAGCTACCCTACAGAGGAAACTCCTTTCAGCTTGTATTCATCTGATTTTATTGGCCACTACTCAAAGCTCATGACCACAGGTAGATCGCAAAGCTCTACCTTCTACTCAGCTCCCTCTTCCCCAAAATATTCTGATACAACACCTGCATTACTGCTGAAGCATGCTCCACCTTCCCTCACTTGAGAAGAGACCCCGAGATACTTAAACTCATTCACCTCGGACTGGAACTCCCAACTTGAAAGGAACAATCCACCATTTTCCAGCACAAAGCCACAACCTCTGACTTGGATGTGCTCTCTCATCCCAGTCACTTTACACTCAGCTGCAAAATGCCTCAGTGCCTTTGGGAAACACTCCAACACAGTAATGCTCAGCCAGGAGCTTTTGAATACCCCCCCACCTGCCCAGTGCCTCTCACTTTGGGCAACTCCAGCTCCTCTCCAGGTGTTTGGTTCCACAATCATTTCTGTGCACTGAGGTGAGCCTAACGATAACTCCCATTCTTCCTCACCAGAGAGGTGACCCTGACCTAAGCTGACTGCAGGATGCGACAAGGTGAAGTCTCCATGTAATTTCTTCTGTTGGCTGGGTCACCTGGACCAAGGCCAAGCCACCAGACTCCACTCCCAGGTCTGGCTCCAGTAGGCTCCCATGTCTACCTACTTCGAGTAACACCGACTTACTTCCAGTTACACTATTTCGATATGTAATACTTTGAATTGTGAAATAAATATCCGTAGTACAGAGAGACCAAAGATACTAACAGAGACCGTGAATGAAAGATTTGATAAGGGGTAAGAACACACCGTATGTGTAACATTGTGAATTAGAGAGTTCATAGCTCAGATTCTGTTTATACATAAACCAGTGGTCTTACCTTTGAGTAATCCAGTTGATTTCTTGAGGTTTTTGCCTTGTTGAGAAGAGAGAAAAGAGAGTGAATATCAGCTAAATGACCCAGGTTTCTAAGGCTGCCTTATCACTATGTTCAACAACTTGTCACTTATTAAACTGAAGAACTTAGAGTAAAATCATGTTAGGACATTTTTAGATAAACCTGTCAGGCTGGGATACAAATATGAACATAGATCATTAAAGGCCTTATTTCTTATCATTGGCCTTGTAAGACAAAAACCTCTGTAAAATCATTCATTTTAAAAATTCATGTACCAAACCCAAAAATGGTTTGCTCGTTAGAGAAGAAAACAAAGCAGCTGTCAACAGCGATTTATTCCTGCTTAAGATTTTCTAAATTGGTCTGAACCAAATGATAGTTACCTCTTAAAAGTAGCAATAAGTAATACCCATGTTGTGATATTTCATGGAGATGATTGCTTCAGTCAGTAACACAGATCACTTCTGCTGTAGTTTCCCAGTCATCTGGAAGTTCTTCCTGACCACCCAAAGCCTGTCTCAACTTCTGTCTGAATTCCTCACAACATTCTTTCTTTTGCAACTTCCACCACTTGGTCTTCTTTTTTTCTGTCTTTCCTCTTCTTCCTGACCACCAGAGTCATCCTACCATCCTAGTCCTAAATTACCATGTACATATAAATGGGGGTATGACCACCTGAATGCACTAATGAGTCAAATCCTCAGTGTGTGAATATGCTAATGCAATGAGAACAAAATCTGGGCAATGCAATCTTTGAACAAGCACACAGCTCTTCTTTGTGTAGTAAATACGGGCTCATGCAATTTAACAGACAAATTATCCAAAACATATTCAAATATAAATCCCATTTATGACTTGTGATTTTCAGTGTAAATATTTATACTGGCCCATTGTTTAATCCTAATTAGTTGCAAACATCCCAAATTCTCTTCTCATTATAGTTGGCTGAAAGATGTAATGTACATTTACAACAAAAGAAAATTTTAATTAAGAGGAAAATCAGATATTAAAAAAAGAACCCTTTAATATCCAACTTTTCAATGGTTACTGGCATATAACGTTATAGTAAGTACTAGTACACCTTAATAGCTGGAATTTAAGATTAACTGTGAGGAACTTGTTTCTTTTTATACTGTTATTCCCAAGATTTACTAATTCACATTTTAAATGCGTCACTTACTTGTTGGGGAACAAGGAAGAAGTTGTTGTTTTTTTTGATACAGGGCTCAAATATTCTGTGCTCTATAGAGGTTTTTTTCTGTGTACTGGGACACCTTTTGGATGTAACATGAACAATTTAATAAATAGATTTATTTTAAAAAGTGCATTTCTAATGTTTTAACCTATGAGAACACAGGCGCCTGACTAACAGCACTGACACTCCAGTAAATAAATTAACCTTGCTGCT